GGCAAAAAAATAAAGATAAAATACACACGGACACGCACAAAAAATAATAATAAAAAATAAATAAAAGGGGGAAGGTTCTTCCAATGCAGTGCAGTTTGCGGAGGCCATCTCAATCAAAAGATTCTACTTTCTTCATTTTAAGCAACCACTACTTGGAAACAATTTGGGGTCTGGATTTTGACCGAAATCTTGTTTTTATAAATATTTTCTTTCATTACAAACAATAGAGAAGAAGCTAGGAGTTTCATATGCACATGTTATACATAATTAAGAGAGCCAATTGGAGATCAAATCATTATTTCTTGAAATTTTTGACACAAGACAACAGGAAGAAAAAGAGATCAAATGAATATTCAAGAACCATTAAAAGAATTCAAGATTCAAGAGTTTTTCCTATATCTTATGGGGCGTTCTCTTCGTGTTTGTTGACACATAAAAATTCAGCCCAAGTCGAACAGCCCAAGGAGTAAAGCCCAATTGGAGAATCCCCAAAACAGATAGCCCAAAGAATGAAGTTCAATCAAACGAGTCAAGGTGAAGGCCCAAACAAGAGGCCCAAGAATGCGGTAATGCCATCGCCCAAGTTTGCAAGTCGCTCAGAATCTGAACGAACGGGTGTCATACGGTCGCCCAGAGCTGTTATTCTACTCTCGCCCAAACCTTCAAGTCGCCTAAGGTGTCAACAAACATAACGCATCGTAATTATCAAGGAATGCAGTTATCAGGGCAGTTGTTAAAGCAGCCTTATCACGTTCCACAACTCAAGGAAGTCAATCGAAGGCAGTTGGACGATGAAAGATAATGACAGCAGTTAAAAGGCGGTTTCATGACAAAATGACCACTACAAAGAAAGTGGGTAGTTATAGGACGATCAAGCAGTTTTCAGAGTAGTTAATCACAAAGAGATCGTCTATGAGGTATAAAAGGGAGAAAAGGCGTAGAAGTAAAAGACCGAATCCAAAACTCTCGAACAAGAGAATATGTAATTTTCATTTCTTTAGATTTTAGACTTAAACACTTTCCTTTCTGTAACTCGTGTGCTTGCGCCCCTTGGAGGCACGTTGTTTTTCGTTTCCAATTGTAAAGTTCATCGCCAATAAAAGAACACCCCTTTTTGGGACTTTGTCTCAAGAGGTTTCGTCCCTTACACAATCGTCTGATCCCCTTTAATTGTTAGCGAGTTAACCCGCGCGAAACAATTTGGCACGCCCAGTGGGACAAGTGGTGTTAGGTGTTGAAAGTACAAAAGGTGAAATAATATGCCTCAGAGATCCGACAAGGATGGAGCAAGTCAAGGAGGAATCCAGTCTGTAATCGAGCGATATGAGGAGCAGCATGCCTCTCCACGAACAGATGGACAAAATCAGAGCAGTAACAGTCGTTACGAACCAATGACGGAGCTGAGTCCTCGGACCATGCGCGCATTGCTTGTAGAACTCACACAAGACGTCGTTGAACAGGTAAATCTTCGAAGTATTCATAATATGAAAAGATTTACACAAAGTGGTAATGCACACTATGACAATATGGCCAAACAACTAAAGACGTTGAATGAAACAATGAACAAGTTAGTGGGCCAAATATGTCAACCGGCTATACCTCTTACAAATCACTTTCAAACTAGGACGATCGTAGGACATAATCCTTCAGTCCCAAGTCCAAGTCAAGGGGTAGAACCACTTCCTGGCCCCTCTACTTCAAACCAAGGAGGTGCTACAATACCAAATCAAAGTAGTAGTAGTGGTATGCCTAACTTGGGGGGTAATCCAAACGTGAGAGATAATGTCCTAAACAATGGACAGAATATTCCACGTGGTAACGAGGGGATAGATGTCCAGGTTAACGGTAATGGCCCTAATTATGGTAATTTTGTTGCCAATCAAGGACCAAACATCAGGCCTCATGCAAATCAACCGGTTAATCAACCTGTAGGAATTCCGTATGATCCCAATGTCATGTTGAGGAATCAGATTATGGAAATCGTGCAGGATCAGATGGCTTTTGGGGTGCGTCCTGTCATTAGGCCGACGTACACAAAACCATATCCTGATTGGGTAGACCAAGCATATCCATGGCCTAGAGGTTATAAAGTGCCAGAATTCTTACTGTTTACTGGTCTGGGAGAGGTGTCTACTCTAGAACACATAGGGCGATTCACGTTGCAAAGTGGTGATGTAACCGATTACCATAAAATGAGACTTTTCCCTAGTTCGTTAACAGGAGTAGCTTTCTCCTGGTTCATCAACTTGCCAGCGAACTCTGTTCAAACATGGCAACAATTGGAACAGTTGTTTCACGCTCAGTTTTATAAAACTGAGTCTGAAGTCACTTTGGCCGATTTGGCGAATTTACGTCAAATGCCAAACGAATGGGCAGAAAGTTTTCTCCAAAGGTTCAAGACAGCAAGAAGCAAATGTTTTGTACCTCTGCCCGAGAAAGAATTTGTCAAAATCGCTCAAGGCTGCTTGAGCTTTGATTTAAAAAAGAAGTTCCAGGACAAAGAGTTCCCTGATCTTTTCCAGTTGAGTGCGAACGTGATTAGGTATGAACGACTGATAAGAGATGAAGAACAAATGAAAAATTCTAGCAAAGGGACTTATTACAAAGACCCAAATTTTAATGTTCATACCATTGACGACGAGTCGTACGATCAGGCCGAAATATGTTTGGCCGAATTGGTCAAAGGAGAGACATATACTTGTCCCATAATGACCAAACCTAGACCGTCGGGCAAAGATGATGAGCCCATAAAAGACGGGAACATAAAGACTAGAACGTTCTCGTTCGATGTGACCAAAGCTGACCTTATATTCGACAAATTATATAGGGATAAGCAGATAAGATTGAGCGATAAGCACAAATTGCCAAACCCCGAACAAATTAAGGGTAAAAAATATTTTAAATGGCATAATGCATGGTCACACCTGACTAACAATTGCTTGGTTTTCCGTCATGTATTACAGGATGCTATTGAGTCAGGACGAATTACGTTCGATGACAAGAAAAAGATGGCAGTGGACGAGAATCCTTTCCCACAGCCACTCGGAGTAAACTTGGTAACATCTGGATTCAAGAACAAGTTACCAAAATTCAAGTTAGTCATAGACGACGGAGAAGAAGATTCAAGACAACATCCCAGCGTCTTCGAACGAATCAAAGGAAAAGAACCAGAAAAGGACGAAAACGTCCTATGTGCAAGATGTAAAAGAAAAATAAATGGAGACACGGAGAAACCAGGGACATGGCAGCATCCCTATCGTCCTGCCTTCTTCCCAAACATTCAACCTGGTAGAGGGCGAGGTACATCGTTCTATAGAGGACCGCCTTTTGAAAGGCAGTTCAACCAACAGATGTTGGAAGAACATTTAGGCCGCAACCTCGCCGGCCAAATGTATGGCATTCATTCCAGAACAGCGCAGGAAGAACGATACCCTTCGATGAGATGACCAGGACTCAAAAAAGGCGTTTCCAGCAAACTACGGATGGATGATGAGGCAGCAACAAGGAATGCCACACCCTAAAGCACCTCTACTACTCAAGGTAGCCAATCAAAACGTCCTAAAGAGCAATAAAGAAATTGGTGCAGATGAATCAATGAAAGAACTGCCAGAGACCTCTTCTGGGAGATCGAGGTTTGAGAGGGACAAAAAGGATGAGGAAGACCTAGATCAGCCCCTTACTATCCAATTCGGTACGTTGCCTCCTGTCGTGGCCAACAATTACCTACTGGTCAATGAGTTCAAAAATAAGGAAAAAGAAGAAGAGAGGGAGGACAACGAAGGAGAAGCCTGCGTGTTGGTGTGTGAAGAAGGCCAGACTTCTGGAGAGGCCTACAACGATGAAGAGGACGATGGGATGACAGACATTGAAGAGGAAATTGATCTAGAAGCAGAAAGGAGAAAAAGAGGAGTATCACGCAATACCCTGTTTAAGCAACTACATCAAGAGGGAGTCCGCGAAGTAGACTTATTGGGGGAGCCATCTGGGCGTCCTTTCGATTTCTATGTACTATACGGGACACCCAAAAGGAAAAAGAGAGTGCCTCGCTGTGAGAAGTATGGGTCACCTCCAAAAATAATGATGACTGATGTGGAAGCAAAAATAATGCCTCCTCCCACAGGTTGGATAACCGACGAGGAAGCATTAGAAAAAAGCAAGAGGGAGATTCAGGAGACAGGGGATAAGAGCGACATACTACACGTCGACCTATCACAAGGGGATAATCCGACAG